TATAAAATAAAAAATAAAATTAAAAAAAAAAAAGAAGTCCAATGTTGCTGGGTATGAATGCACTTAGTAAAAATCCACACTTCCTGCAGGTAGGTTATGTGTTCAACCTCTGGGATCTGAGCAAAAGTCACAGGGCGAGGGATTGCAGGAAAGCTCTTTCAAGGAGTATTACTTAGCAAGATATAATTTTTTGCCCTTCTTTGACTGAAGCCTTTGGAGTTAGCTTTTCAATAGAAGCCCACTAAGGACAGCTGAATACAAGGATAGAGAAACCTGGGTCCTTAATGTCATCTCAGAGATGTCTTAACAAGTTCTGGATCTTTTCACTCTTCACCTCTGGACTTTGCACTTCATGAGAGAAAAGTAAACATAATAAATAATTTAGGCCCTCTACTATACATACTCAAACTCATCATCTAACTAATACAGACAGAAGCCTATATACTATTAAGAAATTAGCAAAATTTATGTTGGAAAAAACAGATTTTTCAGAGCTCCATAGGCATTAAAGAAGCTGAGTGTCTTCAGAAAATTTACTTAACCCAACTGCTACATATATGTCACCTCTGGGTTGGCCATACCTATGCCACGTTAACTAATGAGGGCACGCTTTCAAGGTAAGTTAGGGACATGACAACCACCAATGCTCAATAGCCACAGCTACCAGCTATTAGTCTAGCTCCCAAGATTTTCTATTTGGATCATGTTCAGTTTTTCTCAGCTCCCACATCAGAGATTTTAAGAAAAAATTAAGTACACATGTTGAAAAGATTTCTAAAAATTAACAGACAATTGAGAGGACCTAACTATACATTACTGAAAAAGCCAAGTGTGGTAGTGTATACCCATAACCCAGCACTTAGGAGGCTGAGGCAGTAGGGTCACCATGAGTTCTGAGGCTAGTCTGGGCTACGCAGCATGTTCAAGATGAGCCTGTACTGCATAATGAGACCCTGTCTCAAAGAGGAGGAGGAGGAAGAGTAAGAAGAAGATGAGGAAAAAGAGGGGTGGGAAGAAGCAGAAGAAAAGGAGGAAGAAGAAGAGAGGGGAAGGGGAAGAACAAATACCTGCATTTATGAAATATAAAATTTCTTCTTTCAGAAAAGATTTCACCAGGTTGCCTACAATTGAATATATACATTCCTGTTGTTGCCTAACTTAGAACTTTGTCTTTTTGTTTCTAGAAGAGCCTTCAGTCAGTGTTTGTAATCAGTAAGGAAAAAGGGAGTGAATTGGAACACAAATCATTTGTGAGTCAGCTCAACCGAGCCTTTTTTTGGTTTTATTTGTTTGAGACAGGATCTCACTTTGCAGTGCAGGTTGTCCTTGAACTCTGCAGCAATCCTGTCTCAACTTCCTGACTTCTGGGATTACAGGTCTGTGCTATCATATGCAGTTTCTAGTCTATTATTTTCATTCTTATCAATGAAATAAGATTAAAATTTAAAAGATCAATTAAAAAGAACCTATCTGGGCTGGTGAGATGGCTCAGTGGTCTAAAGCACCTACTTAGAACAAGCTTGGCAAAGCACAGGGACCACGGTTCAATCCCCCAGCACCACGGTGGGCTGAGCTGGCCACACACACACACACACACACACACACACAAATAAATAAATAAATTAATTAATTAAAAAAGAATAAAATTGGTGAAGTGACGTAAAACTCTACGGATCTGAAATTGATAAAATACGATTAGCCATGTATTGTAAGCGTTTGAAGCCAAACGAGGGTCATATCGGCCTCTATGAAGTACATTTCGAATTCTCCACAAAAGATAAATTTTAAAAAATACTTCCTCAAAAATAAGAACAAAACCTGCTTACTAGTTGTGGTTTGATACTTCATTTTCACAAAAATAGGTAAAACTATCAAATTTAGACATTTCAAGATATGTGGTTCAGCCTTAGCTCTGAGAAACAGTAGACAATATTTCTGTATCATGCACAACCCTAAACTTACAGAGGGCCACACTAGACCGTGGCACTTCCAAGCTGTCTTCCTGGCCATGACCAGAGGCACATGATTTCTAGTCTTATCAATTTAAGAACAGGTTAAAAGAAATAACCTTTCTAATTCTAAATCTAGCACTCAATATATAAAATAAAACCTGCCACTGAAAAATCTCAAATCTACACCACTGTTCAAGTTGTAGCTGGTATTTCTTTTTTTGTAGCTGCAAACATTTAACCCAACCTGAAATTTAACCTGAAATAACAAATACCAGATATCTACCACAAATCAGTCCTCCGGAATCTGTTTTAGTAAGCGTTTGAGGCCCATTAGTCATGTCGCCCTGAGCTCTCAATTCATTGCTTTTTTTTTTTCCTACATGCTGATACAGACACGGAGTGAAGACTGAGTACAAACAGAAAGTAAAGAAAATTCTGAGTTAAATAATTAAAAGAATGTATATATTCAATTGTAGACAACATGGTGGAATCTTAGTTGATTATGCTAAAGGTTTTTTGTTTTATTTTTATTACATAGACAGAAAAAGAAGTCCCACTAGAACTGTTTAATTAATGAAAGGAAAAACAAAATAAAATGAGATCCAGCCATTCCTGGCAGTGCAAAGTGGTAATCCCAGTTATCTGGGAGATGGAGGCAGAAGGATCACAAGTTTGAGGCTTACTGAGACTTCTCAAATAAAAAAGCCTTTCCCCAACAGCACTCAGTGGTAGACAGCTTACCTAGCATGTCTGAGGCCCTGGGCTAAATCCCTAGCAATGTGAAAACAAAAAACAAAACAATAACAAAATCCAAGCATCTGTAGGACACTTTATTTTCCTAAGACTGATATTTTGGTGTCTGATAACATGATGTAATCTCTTATCCACTGAACTCTATATTAAATATAATTCTGAAATACTGAAACTTGAAAATATTTGAAAAAGAGACTTTTATAAAATTTCCTCTTGAAACAATTCATATGCCAGCATAATACAGCTGCTCAAAACTGATTAACTAGGCCCAGCGTTGTAGTCCACACCTGTAATCTCAGCATTCTGGAAGCTGAGGCAGGAGGTTTATAAATTCAAGCCCAGCCTAAACAATTAGTAACTTAATGTAATGCTGTCTTAAACTGCAAAATAATCCAACATTCATTCATGATATAAAAAATAAATAAATAGATATAGAAGGACTTTTGCTCATTCTTTTTCTTTTTTACTACAATTCGCACAGGGTGTCACCACACAGCTTGGACTTGCGAGCCTCCTGTATTCAGCCTCCCCAGCACTGGGATTACAGGTGTGAGCCACCACACCAGATCTCCATGGCACACTCAGAGCACCCGGGGGTGCGGCAGGGGCCGCACGTGGTGCTGGGGAATCGAACCCAGTCCCTGGCACTTGCCTAAGCAGGCACTTAGTCTGCTTGAGTTTTACTCATTCTGATAAAAGCCACTGAGCAGGGTCGGGAAGATAGCTCAGTAGAATAAGTGTTTGCATGGCAAGCACAGGGTCCCAAGCTCAATCCCCAGTATCAGGAAAAAAGAAAAAAAAAGGCCACTGATGACAAACTTACTGCCCATGTTTGAGTGACCCATTACCAACATCATATAAATGGAAAAAAACAAAGTTTTTCCTCTAGAACCAGGAAGAAGACAAAGAAGTCCCCTTATCCCTATTTAATATTGTACTTGAAACTAGCCAGAACAGTGAGGCAAGAGAAAAAAATAAAAAAGATATGTATCAGAAAAGAAGTCAAGGGGCTGGAGAGATGGCTCAGTGGTCTAAAGCACCTACTTGGAACAAGCTTAGCAAAGCACAGGGACCGCGGTTCAATCCCCCAGCACCACATGCCAGCCAGCCCCGCCCCCTGGTGGGCTGAGCTCCCCCCCAAATAAATAAATAAATTTTAAAAATAAAAATTTTAAAAATAAATAAAATGGGCATGGTAGTACATGCCTGTAATCCCAGCACTTAGGAAGCAAAGGCAGGAGGATCATTGCAAGTTCAAGATCAGCCTGGACTACAAAGTAAGCTCAAGTGCTGCCTGAAATGCATAGAGACAAAAAAAAGAGTAAATATATATGTAAACTCTTATTGTTACATTCACACTGAGCTTCTGTTTATAAGGAGTGGGAGCCAAAAACCTACTATTTATACAACAAATAATAGCTTTAATTAAAGATCAAACATCTTACTTGCTTCAGCTTTCACCTTGTCCATTTCCGCAAGCAATGCCACTTCACGATCCATTAAACTGGAAAAAAGATGACAAAAATGTTTAATCAGAAACTCAAACACAAAGATAGCACATTACTGGGGCTGGGGAGATAGCTCAGCAGTCTAAGTGCCTGTTGGCAAGCGCAAGGACCCAAGTTTGACCCCCAGTACTTTGCCAGCCCTGGAACCCCAGTTATGTTGTGCTGGCCACTGAAACTAGGTGTGGTGACACATGCCTGTAATCCCAGAACTGGGAAGACTGATACACGAGGATCACTATGAGTCAGTCCTAGCTGTGTAGTGATACCCTGTACCAAATAAATAAATAGATTTTTAAAAAAACAAAAAACGGGGCCAGGGAGATGGCTCAGTAGAATAAGCGCTTCCCTGGCAAGCGCAAGGGCCTGAGTTCAATCCCTGATTCCGACCAAAAAAAAAAAAAAAAAGGAATACTCTAAAAAAACAAAAAACTTTTAAGGGCAAACCAGATAGCTCAGCGGACTAAAGGGACAGGGGTTTGATCCCCAGCATGCTGTGCCAGCCCTGCCCCCGGGGCATGCTGAGACAGTGACTGAGACTGACTGTGGTGGCACACAGCCGTAATCCCAGCTCTTGGGAGGCTGAAAACCAGAGTATCAATAACAGTCAGATCTGTGTAGTGAGACCTTGTAGACCCTGTACTAAATACAAAAAATTTAAATGACAAATAAGACTAGTGAGTTTGTTTGCTAAAAGTTTGTATACTACAAAGTAATACAATAGATCATATGAAAATTCTGTTTATGTTCAACATAGACTATTTTAGAAATTCCAAAAAAAAATAGATGTAATTCCTCTGCATTGCTATATATTACAGTTGCTAGAAGTCCAAGGGTTGACAACCAGTAGATGGCAGCAGCAAGCTACAAGATATTTTCTAGTTGTACTAAAGCACATCCTGGTGAAAATTATTTCCACGTACGCATTCACATACTTACTACATTTTAGTTTGTAAGATTTGGCAACTTTGCTTCTAATAAAGTTTACGAGGAAACATTTCTGCTAGGGCAGTTATGGTGAACTTTTTTTTTTTAATGTATTACAAACAGGGTATGCAGGGTCTCACTACAAAGATCGGACTCATAGTGATTCTCCTGTTTTCAGCCTCCCAAGCGAAGGGATTACAGGTGCACACCACCACACCCAGTCTGGTGGGCCGTCTCAGCGCACCCTGGGGGTCAGGGCCGGCACAGCACACCTGGTCCCTGCATCTGCCTAGGCATACTGTGAACTTTTTAAGCGCTTTCAATGATAACTGCCTGCTGTAGCACATGTGCCATAGGTTGGCACCACCACTGTGCTAGGGCATTTTATCCACGATTAGGATTTGGGTATCTCCAATAGCTGATCACAGTTGCAGCAAGTTAACTGACCCTTAAAGAAGAGTCACAGGCGCCAGGAAGATGGCTCAGTGGAAAAAGTGCTTGCTTGGCAAACTCAAGGGCCTGAGTTCTCCAGTCCAAAAAAAAAAAAAAAAAAGAGTCACAGCTGATTTCTAATAAATATTTAATTTTTTTTCTTTTAGTAGTAAAAGATTTATTAGTTCAAGAACCACAGAAGGGAGTTCCATGAATTTTCCAAAGCAAAATTTCACTATCCTTTCCCTAAAATAAAACAACAGCAATCCCTGGGTATACCTTAAATATAAACTATGAAGATTCTGTTTAGATATTATTGTCCTCAAAAAAAAAAACACAATTTTAAAAATTAGTCAATACTGCTAGCCTGGATTTTACCTGCTTGCATGTATTTCTGAAATAAGAAATTTCGCCGTAAAGTACATATTAACTTTCTTAATTCATATATAATCCAAAATACTCAGTTTTATATGGAATCAAAACTTTTGAAAATAATCTAAAAAAATGCATAAACACAGAAATATGAAACAGAGTAAGAATACCCTCCTACGCTCTATGAATCAAAATGTAAAGATCTGTTACATATGTAAATGAACACATTAATTTGGAATATATTGTCATTACATGGCTGTGCATATACATGTATACTATAAAACAAATACCAAAATGTTTCTGATGACACTATAGTTTCTAGCCCCAGAAAATAGAGAAAAACTAAAAACAATACGAAACTTGTTGCATATTTTTTTAAATAAAGTTTTTAAGTAGATAAACCCAACTTTGCAAAATGGATGGATCTCTAAACAGTTCATAATCAAGAATCTCTTCAATTATTCTCCAAGATAACAGAACACAGAAGTTTTCTCTCTACTCAGGAAGTCTGGTCATCTCCAGGGTTTTTTTTTTTTTTAACTTTTATTTATTAATTTATTAATTTGTGTGTGTGTGTGTGTGTGTGTGTGTGTGTGTGTGTCCAGCTCAGCCCACTAGGGGGCGGGCTGGCTGGCATGTGGTGCTGGGGGATTGAACCGTGGTCCCTGTGCTTTGCTAAGCTTGTTCTAAGTAGGTGCTTTAGACCACTGAGCCATCTCACCAGCCCCTCCAGTGTTTTTTTTAAAAACTGCTTTCCGAGATACGAGGTAGCCATGCCGCTTACATTCTTCCTGCTGCCCACCTTTGCCTGACATAACCATACAGGCTGGCACTTGGCAGCACCACACCCATGACAGCCATCACTAACCACTTTACTCAAGGAGAAGAGAGCACTGAAGGCAAATGTCACCGCAGGCCTGGACAGGCAGTAAGTCCTAACCAAAATACTCTTTTATTTATTTATTTTTTTTTTTGGTGGAACCGGGTATTGAACTCAGGCCCTTGAGCTTGCCAGGGAAGTGCTTATTCCACTGAGCCATCTCCCCAGCCCAAAATTAAACCCATTAGATTTTTGCTTGTTTTTGGTACTGGGGATTGAACTCAGGACCTTGTGCTTGCCAGGCAAGCGCTTATTGTACTAAGCTATCTCTCCAGCCAAAATATTCTTGATTCAGCCTCTGAAACACTTTTACTCTCTTGAGAAGTTGCCTTCCTGCACGCCAATACCCAGTGGCTCTTTCCATCCTCATCAATATGATTCCACCAACGCAGAGCAACCATTAGTCTACCTGTGACATTCTGATTTTTGATCTTTTAGGTCTATTAGCTGTCTCTTCTTCTGCATCAAATGAAACGTCTTCAGCATCATCATTACTGTCCTGCTACAACATGGCGCACTAGCCCCACTTCCAGGGGCCACGTCAGTGCACCAGCCATTGAGTCTGGTGTTCAACTTCAGCTGACTCATCATTCCAGGCCTGAAAGGGGCTCCAACCCAGGCCCATGTTTAATTTTTAAAAATGTTTTATTTATGGTACAGCTTCTCACTACGAAGCTCAGACTCGTAGTGATCCTCCTCTCAGCCTCCCTAGTGCTGGGATTACAGGCGTGCGCCACCACACCCAGCTTTGGTGGTGAGCACGGTACACGCAGGGTTCTGGGACCAGCAAGGCATGCAGTTCCAAGGATCAAACCCAGGTCCTTGCGCTTGCCAGGCAGGCATTTAGGCCAGTGAGCTATCTCCCCCATCCTCTGATAAAGAATTAATAGTAACCTGGACAAAATAGAATCAGTTCTTGGTAGGCTTTTTACAGGAAAAAATTAAATAGGAAATCACAACTTTTGCAAATGCAAATGCAAATGGTTTGTAGGTAAAGCTTTTTCCATATCTTTATAAAAAAGCCCACAGCCTTCAATGCATATAGAGATTGGAAGTTCATTCTAATTTCTCCTTTTGAATGAGACTATTTTTGTGTCAGTAAAAACCCATTCTTCTAGTTGTAAAAGCAATCATACACACATACCTTAACACCAATTCAATTGAGCTCAATATGTAGTTATGTTAGCCAAAAGTAGTTAATACAGACACTACAGTAGGAGACATACAAGAATGTGCAAGGCAGAGTCATTTCCTCAAGCAGCAAAACCCTTTATAGAGAAGTGCGAGAGAACACAGTATTGATAATCACTGTGCATGGCATCATAAAAACACTTGTAATAAATAAATTTCATTGGCTGTTAATCCAAAGCCACCAGATTGAAACAAAACAATACAACTGGGGCTAGGGAGATGGCTCAGTGGTCTAAAGCAGCTACTTAGAACAAGCTTAGCAAAGCACAGGGACCGCGGTTCAATCCCCCAGCAGCACATGCCAGCCAGCCCCGCTCCCTGGTGGGCTGAGCTGCACTCCCCACACACACACATAAATTAAATAGATAAATAAAATTTAAAAAAAAAACCCAGGGGCTGGTGAGATGGTTCAGTGGTCTAAAGCACCTACTTAGAACAAGCTAAGCTAAGCAAAGCAAGGGACTGCGGTTCAATCCCCCAGCACCACATGCCAGCCAGCCCCGCCCCCTGGTGGGCTGAGCTGGCCACACACACACAAAATAAATAAATAAATGAATAAATAAATAAATAAATATTTAAAAAAAAAACCCAAAAACAAAAAACAAAATTAAAAAAAAATACAACTAATGTAGGGTAGCCATACTTTGCTAAGAAAGTATTTCCAAACCTTGGCAATATTTTGTTCCAACTCTAGCAGGATTTGGAATACCTAAAAAGCAAAATAAAAGTACAACTGAGACAGGCTCTGCCAGGCCTGTAGCTTTACATTACTCTGTTGCCAAGTCACCTGAAGATGTGTCCACCACATGACAAATTCTTTGTCTCTGACAAAGCTTGTAAGATGGTAGAAAACATCAACAAATACATAAGCTTTTTAAAGCTCACAATCTTTATTATAAAAAGTGGCATGTCACACACGATGCTTAGCAAGGAATGTTGCACAAATGTTGCACATTTGTGTGGCAACATAAGCCAATATGCTGTGACATTTCTTTCCCTGTGAGACTGAGCCAGTAGCATCGATTCAGAACCTTGTGTTTCTTGACAGACTTACTGGTGATCACAAGAACTTCATAGGGATCACAAGAAATACATAGGCCACATATGAATCCTCAATTAAAAAGTTTACATGGTCTATGCTAAAGATGAATAAAAGAAGTAACCATTCTATTTCTGCTTGTCATGTTCCCATCTACT